TAAATTCAGGTCTTCCAACAATAATGGTAATTCATCAATGAGAAAACTGTGGTATTTCTCTCTATTCACACATACACAGTATATAAGTTAGTAATTGATTAAAAAAGAATTACACCAGAAACTTCATATTGGCGGTAGTTACGTCCTTAAAACAATGACTCAAATATGATATTCAATTCAGGATTACGGAGAAAAGAAATACATTGATTAAAGGGGATTTTAAAAATATGATTATAAAATAAAAGCCCAGTTTTCGTACTAATAAATTTGCTACTTTCTTTCTTGTCTCTGTCTCTTTACTTTTAATGTATTTTATAGTAGATTTATTTACGACAAAAGGGCGAGCAACATATACTTTCAAATATTCCTCCTGACAAATGAACGAGCACTTTAATTTCAGTTGCATAGGATATCACTTTCATTCATCATCTTTATTTGTAAATATAAAAGAAAAATTAGCTAAAATTCTTTTTGACTTTCACAATGTAAAACAAAATTTAGCACAAGTGCTAAAATAATGTGAGAAACTACAAGATAGACTTTACATCGCTAAATAATATAAATTACTACATATATATCTTTATTTCCAATACAAGTAAGTATAAATAATTATTAACCTGTCTATATATGAAATCTTTTATAAAATTTTACATATCTTTCGATAACCGTCGTACACTTTCAAGACAATTTTTTTAAGTTTTAAAGTATAATTTTTATTAATAAAAGATGTTTAAATTATAATTTAAATCAAATTTTGTTCCTGTAAAAAAAGAACACTCATTTTGAATTTTACTGTTTATTTCCTATTGCAGGTTATCAAAACTCTTAGCAAAGGTTATAACCTAAAATTTTTATAACTAATTTTTAACTTGTCTAAGCGATTTAAAAAGTTTATATAATAGAATAAAATATGGAATTTAATCAAAATATATTAATTAATTATATTTAGTCTATTTTAAATCACATTATTCAATATATAATATTCAGTCGAAAATTTACCTGTTCACGATATTCATTGCCCACGAATGCCTTGTTACAACAGGTTTCTATTGCTTGAACCTGAGAAATTCGATACAATTTTAGTGAATAATATCAAATAAGAGTAAAATAATAAAAATAAATAACTTACTCTTGATTCGCAAACTCTCTCCGTGAAACAATTCTTGAACTTAGTGAAATACGTTTCTTCTATATAATCAATAAAATAATTATTTAAATATTAAAATTATATTACATAATATATTTTCTTATTTTAATTGACTACGAAGAACGTAATTAATTTTATTAATAGACTAATGCAGACTTACCGTATCCGTAAATCTCTTTAATGAAGAGGAAATAAGTTATGACGAAGATGCTTAAGCATTTCATGTTCACTCCGAATACTGAATTTTTGGAATTAACACAGAACTCATATAACTTCCTTTTGTGTACATTAAACAGGTGCAGTGATTTATATAATTACGTCTACTCTTTGCTTTTCAAATGCGTTATTGACATTATTAACGTATTTCATGAAAAATAAAATATTTAAATCAAAATTCAGAAATAAATTATAAAATTCAATATTCAGAAGTTTCTTACATTATTATAAATACTTATTAAATTATTGAA